TTAAAAAAAAAAAAAAGTATTAATTATTTATTTTTTCCTTTTTTTCTATCTTCTATTCTTTTTTTTTGTGTGTGTCTGTGAGGTGCTGTGTTTGTGTGTGAAGGGTGTAGTGTGTGTGTGTTAGAGAGGTGCAGTATGTGTGAGTGGTGCTGGATGTTGGTGAGGGGTGCAGTGTGTGTGATGAGTGATTTGTGTGTGTGTGTGTGTGTGAAGGGGGCAGTCAGTGTGAGGGGTGTAGTATGTGTGAAGCGTGCATAGGGTCTATGCTGTGAAAATCTATCTTAATGTCTCCCCCTCCCTATTTCTTACCTTTTACCAGGGAGGAGGTACATAATGCTGCAAGCCCTGGTGGTCCAGTGGTAGCATGTTCACTTTAGCCTGCAGCTCCTCTGGCTGCATGCTGACTCTCCTGTCCTTCTGCGAGCACAGTACTGTATTGGAGCATTGCCATGGTAACGTGCGGCAACGCTTTGCTCGTGGGACGAACAAGGAGCCTCCAAGGCCTTCCCTCTTTCTGCTGGAACGAAGTGCCAGCGGGCTGGTAAAAGAGGGAGATTATTGATGATCTCACCAGTCTGAAGGGGCTTACAGCAAGGCTGGCTCTGCATGGGCCAGCAGGGGAGATGAAAGGATCTCCCGTGCCGGCCTTGCTCCATGGCCATCGAGGCCCACTGGGCATTTTCTGCAGAACCCACCACTGCCCACCTGGAATCCCAAATCGCCCACTAGTGGGCGGTAGGGACCAGGTCGACTACCCCTGGTCTAGAGGTTAGGGATCCCCACACTTATTGGGTTTATTCCTCCTCCAGAATTTAGAGAGGTTTTACTTTACTTTGGCTGCTGGAGGTTTTGTTTGCAGTATTGATACTTTTCTACTATCCTGCCATGGTTATTTATTTTATCCGCTATCTATTTAGGCAAGTAATTTTCATATATAAATTTTTTTTCTGCAATATCAAGCCTACAATCACGTGCTGGTTTCCCTTCCTCCCCTTTCCCCTCTCTTTGGTCTCTTTACATTTCACTGTTTAGTGAACCTCTAGTTTACAATCTTTCCTGTCATTGGATTAACGTCTCTACTATTAGGCTTCGTTTAGCCATATCTATATAATTTTTTTCCAATGGACATGGATAGTATCTAGATAGGTTCATGTAGCAACTGATTTATGCTCTTTAGTCCTATCTGCTATATTTGTATCTATCTCCTTTTGATTAGTTTTGGTTCTGGATACATTGTGTACCACAATACTTAAGGCATATAGTACCTCTCCTATTTTTGCCTCTTTTCATTAGATTCTATATACGCCTTACCTAATTAACTCTTAATTTAAGAGTTATTAATAAAGTTTTTGTTATTTTCCAAGATCTTTTTTAGATTGGACTGGGATTAAATCCTATTGGGCACTTTCTATGAGTGTTGTTTTTTAGGATTAATTTAGTTCTATATTTATGCATTATTTTGGTTATCCTCTCTGGTTAGGAGATGGGACGTGGGAGTTCTCTTTGCCCCTATCCCAGTCTCTTACCCTTTTCATACTATTTTTAGATTCATCACATATGAGTACTTGTATAAACTTTGCATGTTATCTTCTGTCTCTTAAGAATGTTAAATTATAATTTGCACTTGGAAAGTACCTGAGTAAAGGAGATTGCTTTCTATGAAATTCACATAGAAACCCCTTATTCATCAGTAATGCAGGTGGCTCTTAACTACATGCTAGAGTGTCCCCTTAATATGCATTCAGATATGCTGCCTGAAGTGTCTTATTAAATGCATTTGTACTTGCTATGTTATGGTCTTGTTTTACAGAAAACTCAATCTATTGGCATCAAGCCCAATAACCGTAAGTTGTAAGTTTATAGGCTTTCCATTCTATTTTTGAAAGTAAGCAAAATTAGTCTGATTTGTTGTGTAAAAATACACATTGTATTTACACTCTTGATCACTGACTTTTTTTTTTTACTTTGACATCATTGTGTGCTCAGGTTTGTATTGTTTATTATTTTATACTCCGTTATATGACTCTGACTTTAAAGGTTTATTTTTTGTTTCTTAGTTCTGGTGGAGTGGCGCCACACTAGTTTTGGCTGTGGATAAATCCATTTTTGTGACCGTGTGTGCAAGTAAAAGTCTTGCATCAGTTTTCCAGGACATCTGCCTTAAATATACAAACAAAAGTACATGGAGTCAAAAACATCTTTTGTTAGCACTGACTTGTATTTAACTTGGTTAAAAGTATTTGAGGTTGTGGAAAATGCCCATCAGGTTCATCTTGGCTCCAAAACAAGTCATTTAAAAATAATCAAAAGTAGCCCCTTAGCAGTTATTTCACTTTTCCAAGCAGTGATCTCTTGGTTCTAGATTGATCCTGTTATCTAGCTTCATATCACAGTGTTCCAGTTTCAATGTTTATCACTTCTAATTTAGCGTTTTGATGTCTGGTACCATATGACTATTCCTGTTTCATACTGGTTCCTGCTACCTTTTGCAGTTCAGTGTTCCAGGTTCCTTGTTCCTCAGTGCCACTTTAGTGCTCCTAGTACCTTTTAAATCTGTGACTGCATCCCTTGTCTAGCTATTCTGCTCCAGGCGGCAATCCTTTTTTTCCTGCTCTCAGTGGCTGACTTTCTGAAGAATGAGCTACATCCCTGGGTTAGTGACCACAAGTACTTCAAGGGCTAAGCGCTTGTATATATGTGGTTCTGTAATCAATTCTGCTCTGTGGTTTTAGGTGTCGTATGCCATTTCCTTTCATTTGTGTCACCAAAAATCTCTGCTCAGCCTTATAATCCTGTTTCACAATAACTTTATCTTGGGCCATTTTCCTATATGGTCTCCTCTTGTTCGTTGCTGTTTGCTTATCGTTAAACGACGTTTTGATGTGTGCTTATCACTTATCGTTGAAAGAGGTGTTCTGAGTCCGCTAAACATTTTTTATCCTTATTTTTATATTCCTTGAAAAACTACAACACATTGTGTAAAATATATGAAACCCCTTCTTGAAGATTTGACTATAATCTAAATGTCAGGGATTCTGTTTTTTTCCCAATGCTAAATTCCTCTCTGCAAGAGATGACTATATGTGCTTTTTAAATAACTAACATACTGTTTGTGAGCATCCTCTGAATGCTTTTCCTGTCGTCCTTGATTGTATTCCATCATTAATTGTTATCATTACTTTCCCTGACAAATGAGGGTTAAATCTTTTTATTTTCTAAAATGTCTTTCGATGCATATTTGTCAAGCTGGTCCAAAAATAATAGGTTTCCATAATCTTGCAGTATTTGCTTAATTTAAATAACAGCAGCTGAAAGCATACCTTTAAACCACCACTACTACTACTGAGCCATGTGAAATAATGTGATTTTGGTTTAATTAAGTATTATGCTCTTTCTCTGAAATAAAACAAACAAACACTAAAGTGCAAGATTCCTAACTATCGGAATCTGCAGTGTGTCCACAAAACCCTATATAGGGGATAACCCTTGAATGTTAGTTATAGTTCTCTGAAATAAAGACAATATTAGGTGTGCCTGTACAGTTGGATATATCATCTGTGCATGTCACATGCTAGGGTCTTGTTAATTTCATTACAGTGTACCATCATCCAGTTATTAATGTGATTGAATTTGTGGAAAATTAGTCTTGCTTTTGTGACAATACATTAATGTACAACTGTTTTCCCCCCTTTTTTACCCAGTGCATCAAAACTTACAATTCTGACTGGCACGTCGTCACCTATAAATATGAAGATTATTCGGGAGATTTCCGACAGCTCCCAAGGTCAGTGTGTGTGCATGTTATGACAGGTTTTGAAACCTGGGAAAAGTGTGTTTTGCCGTTATGTGATAAAAAGGTAAAAATAGCAGTGACATATCGAGGTGCAGATAACGCCATTTATCACGCTCTACATCAGGTGTCATTTTACAAGGAACATGTCAGATTTCCTATTCCACATTGCGGCAAAGTAAACAATTTAAATCTAAATACACCATAGTCGTGCCCATCTCTAGCAAGTGACATCTGAGTCACAGGTTGTGAATCATTACAAATTCCTGTGTGTTAAAGCATTTGATCGCACATATCCCAGAGAGTACTTTTCTATAAATACTAGTCATTTCCCAAAGAAAACAATTTGAGACTTATCATGAAACTCGGCTCTGTTTTATTTCCAACAACGAAGCTGCACATTTCAGATCATTTTTTAATTTTTTTTTTTATTTTTTTAAACTTAAAAGTATTCTCTAAGCACCAGAACCACTACAGCTTAACACCTTAAGGACACATGACAGGTGTGACATGTCATGATTCCCTTTTATTCCAGAAGTTTGGTCCTTAAGGGGTTAAAGAGTGGTTTTGGAGCAAATAAAATGTCTCTGCAGTGTCTCATGCTTAAACATGACCTTTTCTCTCTAAAGACACCTCTAGTAACTGTCAACCAGTCAGCTTCTAGAGGTGCTTCCTGTTATGGTTCTGCAATCTTTGCATGCCTATTATGAAGTTCCTGAATAATCCCCGTATAGATCCATTGGTATAATTAATTGAGGAGATACTGAGATACTATTGGCGTGGCAATTGCGGTGCGTGCGCATTTGGCTCCCCAATGATTCTCTGTAGAGAAGTATTGGATTGGCTGAGATCATCAATGCTATTCATTTCAGCCAGGGGAGGAGTTGCAGCTGTGGCAAAACAGGTGAAGCATATGATATACGTTAAATTATTCTCCATTATATTACACTTATAGAATTGAACAAAACTCTGACATTAGAAATACAAACATATACTTCTAACATTGGTATCCCCTTCATTGTTTTAATTTATTTTTACGCTTGCTTCTCTATTCTCCATCTTTCACTAATTATTTGTCTTGCACTTACCCCCTCGTTTGGCATTGTTGAAATTTACACCTCCATTTATCTCTGTGTTATACTGTCCCATTATGGTTAACCATTTTTTTCGTCCTGCTCCTATTACACACATAGGCGTGCGCAGCCTATTGCATTAGAGTGTGCACCCTAAACCACAAACACACGCCACGTGTGTGTGTGTGTGTGTGTGTGTGTGTATGTATCATATATATATATATATATATTACACACACACACACACACACACACGGCGTGTGTTTGTGGTTTAGGGTGCACACCCTAATGCAATAGGCTGCGCACGCCTATGTATATAGGCTGTAGTAAAATACCTATACTCCCCAACGAGTTAAGTCACAGTATTTTATTTAGATTTTTTTTTATTTTTTTTGCAACTAGGACTTGATAAAATAATGTGTATGAAAATATATAGATATATACACACACACACACATACACTGCTGTGTGTGCTGTTAGTGTGCTGTTAGTGTGCTGTTAGTGTGCTGTTAGTGTGCTGTTAGTGTGCTGTTAGTGTGATGTGAGGGTGTTTGTGTGTGTGTGTGTGTGTTTGTGACTGTGCTGTTTGTGTGTGAGGGTGTGTGTGTATGTTTGTCCTGTGAGGGTGCTGTTTGTGTGAGTGTCGTGTATTTGTGAGGGTGCTGTTTGTGTGTGTGTTTGTGAGGGTGCTGTTAGTGTGCTGTGTGTGAGGGTGTGAGCAGTATGTGTGTAGGTGCTGTATGTGTGTGTGTGCTGTATGTTTGGAGGGATTTGGCAGATTAGTAAATCCTTGCTGTCATGTGCCATCCCTGGTGGTCCAGTGGAGAGTGAACTCTAGCCTGCGGGGCTAGAGTTAACTCTCGCGAGATCTGAGCGTTGCCGCAGCAACGCTCAGATATCGCGAGAGGAACTTGGCGGAGCTTCTGTCTAGAGCTCCCTGGGTCCTCTCCTGCCTCCCTCCATGCTGCTGCGGGCCGGTGAGTTAGATCTTTGGTCTCCCCACCAGCCCATGGAGGCTTAGAGCAGAGCCGGCACTCAGATAGCGCCGGCTCTGCGTGCGTGTGTGTGTGTATGTATGTATGTATATATATATATATATATATATATATATATATATTTGTGCTCGGAATTTAAATACGTGATGGATAGTAACTGTGAGCAAAGTTGGTTGTGGTGTGCCGAAACCAACGTACGAGTGGGCCTGTAAATAAAAGAGGGCCCACCAAGGATAATGTAGTTAAAACAGGGTGTAGGTGGGTGGGGACAATCAGCTGAGCGGCAGCGGTGAGTAGGGGCTGGGAGCTTAAGTAGGGGACTTACTCCTCCCACAAATTCAGGCCTAATGGCCTTTCTACTTGTGCTCGGAATTTAAATACGTGATGGATAGTAACTGTGAGCAAAGTTGGTTGTGGTGTGCCGAAACCAACGTACGAGTGGGCCTGTAAATAAAAGAGGGCAAAAAGATAAATTCGAGAAAATACACACTTTATTGCATTTTACAAGACCAAGTTTCTGAAAGCTTGGCGAAGCTCTTTCTCTGGTTGCGGAATATATGCGTTATATATGGAGGATTTCCATCGCCCGAGCCTTTTGATGATGTGGACCGGTGCGTTTGTGCTTGAGGCTGCTGAGGCGGCTCCTATGCGGAAGGAGTGCCCGGAGAATGCAGCCGGATTGTGTCCGAGCTTAGATAACAGGGTTTTGACATGTGACATCAATTTTGCCGTGGTAAGCGGGTGCCCTTGTAATGTTAAGAGCGGAGAGTCTGGCAGGTGAGTGCGAAAAGTTGGCCGTAGTTGGTCGAGAACTTTCACCGGACACCAGGCATTATCAGTAGGGAAGAGAGGAATTATTGTAGGATGTATTGACCGGTTGGTTTTAGTGTTAGGGATAGAAAGGAGGTAGTGATCCTCTACCTTGGTGAGGTGTGAAGTTTTAAGGCATCGTGCGATATCTCCTTGACAAATCACTGTGAACTCTCTAGGTCTGAGAAAACCGTAGAAAGCGAGATATATGGCAGATTTTATCACCGTATTGGTGTAGCTATCAAATGGGGCTGTGTCAAGGAGATTGCTAAGAGACCTGAAGATAGGCCCGTCTATGGGTAATCTAGTGCTTGCGAGTGGTGGTGAAACCTTTGATATACCTTTCAAGACCTTTTTTATGGGGTATGAAGACAAAAAGGGGGTGCTGTTAGGAAAATTGGTGAGGCTGTGGTGCTGAACCCCGGTGAGGTAAAGTTTAATGGTGTTGTGTGACAGATTAAGGTGTAGGTGGCAGAAAGAGGCAAAAGACACCATGGTTTGGATAGAAAAGTCACCTTGTAGCCCGAATTCTGCAGTGAATTTGTTAAATATGTTAAGTGCCCTATTGTAAGTGATAGCAGTGTTGGGTGATAATGCTTGGTGAGTGAGTGATCTAGCGTGAAGCAAGAGTGTGCTTAATCCAATATTAGTTCGTGAAACCGTGGTGTCCTGGATGGCTGATGGTGAACTGCTGGGAGTGCCTGAGAAAATGCCTGGAATCGAGAACGAGAAAGAGCGTCAGCGGCGGTGTTGTGAATACCCGGGATGTGAGAACATACTAAGTGAAACTGATTGGATGCTGCCAGCCAGGTCGACTTGCGAATCAGCCGCATGATGGTCAGGGATGATGAGCGCCCTTTGTTAATAATATCGCAAGCTGCCGAGTTATCTGAGTAGCATTTTACTGCCTTGCCGGACCAGAGATGACCCCAGGTGTGTGCGGCCGCCACAATGGGGTAAATTTCAAATAGGGTTGAGGTCTCCCTGAATCCAGGCAAGGCATCCGTCTCAGTGGGCCAGTGGCCCCTAAACCAGTGGTTCCCGAAAATGGCTGCGAAACCGGTGTTGGCTGCTGCGTCCGTGTGGATGATGGTTGAAGAGGTGGAGAGAGGGGGGATAAACATGGAGATACCATTCCAGTCTTTCAAAAACTTCCCCCACATAGCCAAGTCAGCCTTGGCGTGGGGGTCCAAAGAAACTGTGCCGGAGTCCGGGACTCCATGGAGCAGGCAAAGAAGTCTGGAAATAAAAGACCTTCCCTGCGGAATGATGCGCATGGCGAAGTTCATAGATCCAAGAAGGGACTGAAGTTCTCTCCTGGTGCAAACGTCATTCCGCAGGAACGTGTCTATCTCCCCTCTCAATCGTGAAAGTTTGTCGTGTGGAAGGCTAGCTCTGAGTTTGACAGAATCGAGCTCTATGCCTAAAAAGGTCAACTTTGTTGTGGGTCCTATAGTTTTGGCTGGGGACAAAGGGACTCCAAGTGTGGAAAAAAGTGCGGTAGTACTATTGATTGCTGTGGGTGTTGATGACCCTGGCTCTATCAGTAGAAAGTCATCTAGATAGTGAATAACGGAGTGACACCTGATGACGTTCAGAAGCAGCCAGCATAGTGACTCTGCGAAAATGTCGAAAAGTTTGGGGCTGCTTCGGGAACCAAAAGTGAGTCGTGTTGAGAAGTAATAATACCCTCGCCATTTAACACCGTGTAAGTGCCAGAGTGAGGGGTGTATGGGCAGTAATTTAAAGGCGTTAGTGATGTCTGTTTTGCTGAGCCAGGGTCGATTACCAGATGTCATGATGGACTGTATGGCGTCGTCGATGGTGACGTACTGCAGAGAGAATTCGTCTGCTGGAATGAGTGCGTTTATGCTTGGAACAAAAGAGGAGTGCGGTGCCGATAAATCGATAATGAGACGTTTTTTATTAGAATATTTGTGAATAGCAATACCAATAGGGTTAGTGCGCCAGGAGGAAAACGGTGAAGAGGTGAAAGGACCGATCATGAAACCGTTTGTGGTTTCTGCGGAAATGAGAGTGTCTACAGCGACTGGGTCTAAACGTGCAGACTGGAGATTAGGACATTCTAGTGTACCTGGGGGAATGGCTATTATGCCTGTGTGAAACCCTTGTGGGAAACCTGTGGTGAGAAAATCCACTAAGTGCCTGCTGGGGTGACACCTTAGATAAAAAACCAGGTTGTCGATATTTATGTCGGTTAGGGGGCTGGGAGCTTAAGTAGGGGACTTACTCCTCCCACAAATTCAGGCCTAATGGCCTTTCTACATGTGTATGTATGTATATATATGTATATATATATGTGTGTATATATATATATATATATATATATGTGTGTGTACACACACTCACACAGACACACACATACACTCACAGACAGACACACACTCACACACACACACACACTCACTCACACACACACAGACACACTCACACACACACAGACACACTCTCACACACACACAGACACACTCTCACACACACACAGACACTCACAGAAACACACAGACACTCACACACAGACACACATACACACAAGAACAAATTATTATATTTTAACAAAAAAAAATGTCCACCCAGCCTCCTACCTGGAGTGCTGGCGTGGACTTGTCCCTGGGGTCCAGTGGAGCGGGCGCCTCTCTCCAGCTCAGCCGTGGCGAGGGAGCTGTCTGCTCCCTCTCGCCGCGCGGGCTGTCAGCTGTAGCTGGGAGCCGGAATATGACGTCATATTCTGGCTCCCGGCATCAGCTCGCGGCGAGAGGGAGCAGAGAGCAGACAGCTCCCTCGCCGCGGCTGAGCTGGAGAGGGGGGGGCGGTGAGAGGATCCATCACTGCTTGCCCCCCCCCCAATGACAGAGGCAAGAGGTGAGACAGGGGGCGCTGAGTGCCTTCAGGAACAGCGTTCCTGCTCAAAAAAAGTGCAGGAACGCTGTTCCTGCAGGACTCAAACCATAGGCGTGCCACAGGGAAATTTACACATATCCTAGTTTCTAGCAATAATTATATCTTGGCATGCTTATTCCAACATTATCTATATTTATGCTCAGTAGCAAATATTGTACTTGGGCTCTCATTTAATTCAAAGACTCCTTGTCAAAATGCCAAAATGGGTCTTCATACAATGTTCACAGGGCGCTGGTAAACTACTCACAATGCATTTCTTACACCAGTGACGCCACTTTCACCAATGAGATAGTGATCCCCTTTCGATTCTGGGAAGAGCTAAGAAAAAGTGCTTTGCAAACTGCTTGTTTATATTATATACAAACTGCTGCTTTAATGTCATTAAATGGTTACTCCAATCGCCTTGACCACTTCAGTGGTTTGAAGTGGTCATGGTGTGTGGAGCTTGTTAGTGTGGTGCTGCACATACCGAGTTCAACCTTTCTGCTACTAGATGTGTAACTCCAACTCTGCCAGTATTATTGGTGTGTTATCAGCCAGCCCAGAACTAGTTCTGAG